AAGTCTTGCATACAGAACGTTTTGCTGTTTAACTTGTGGGACTTTCCATCTTGAAATATTGCCAAACTGCTGACATTTTAGTTAGCTCTGGCTAACACTACACAATCGGAAATATCTTCCATGGCGCTCTAAAAACAGCATCTGCCAGTGGCAGTACAGCAAAACCGCTTCTTTAGAGCATGATTTGCTGGAAAAGAGAATTTCTTTTTTTATCTGGTTGAAGCTAATGTACTTTAAAGATGTGGAATCGGATCAGCATATACATTTGCGATACCCAACATCCCATGAAGGACTTGAGCCAGAAATCTCTTGTTTTAAAACCTTTGTCAGGACAAAATTTAAAGAATTGTGACTGATGTTTTAAGTTTTTAAAGATATTTCTCCCCTGGGTCGTCTTCCATGGATTTTGCTGTTTTCCACTCAGTGTGCACGGACTGTTTCACATCTGTCATTATGTTGTGGCTGGAGCTGACAGCTGTATTGATTTAAAAATAATCAGACTTGCATGAGATGAGATTGAAAAATAACAGCTGAGGTTAATCCTGTGTAGAAAGGGTGTTAGTGCTTCTGGCTGCCTGCTCTGATATTTAAAGTCTCTTGACATTTTTTGGAAGACAAAACAAAGCTTTGAAATATATTCAGATCATCTCTGTTCCCATCTCAGGTACCAGTTTTAATACCCATGGACCTCATGGTGGAGGCCAGTCCACGGAGGGTGTTTGCCAATGCCCACACCTACCATATCAACTCTATCTCAGTCAACAGCGACGATGAGACCTATCTGTCCGCGGACGACCTCCGCATCAACCTCTGGCACCTGGAGATCACTGACCGCAGCTTCAGTATCTTTAAATTCATGAAGACGTGTTTGTCCGTTGACCTTTCCATATGTGAATACCCTGTTCAGGGGATTGCTCGATGGCTGACATTCTCATAGCACTACGTCGTAATTCTTTGGTGCTGAAACAAAATGCACTGCGCAGTCTATCACGTATCATTAAACCAGGTGAGTCCTGGTCCTAATCCCTGGAAGGTTTGTTCGTCTTAACAGTGCTCTTCAGATATTGTTGACATTAAACCTGCCAACATGGAGGAGCTGACGGAGGTGATCACAGCGGCCGAGTTCCATCCTCATCAGTGTAACACCTTTGTCTACAGCAGCAGCAAAGGAACCATTCGTCTGTGTGACATGAGGGCTTCAGCACTTTGTGACAAGCACTACAAATGTGAGTATCTACTTTTGATTCATCACATCTTGACTTTGACAGGTTCTCGCGCTCACGTTTAACTTAAAACGCTTGTTTAGTTGTATTTGTAACATGCTCTCTTCTCTGCTGCAGTGTTCGAGGAGCCAGAGGATCCCAGCAATCGCTCCTTCTTCTCCGAGATCATATCCTCGATCTCTGACGTTAAGTTTAGCCACAACGGACGCTACATGATGACCAGAGACTACTTGTCTGTGAAGATCTGGGACCTGAACATGGAGAACAGGCCAGTGGAGACTCATCAGGTGAGACAATGAGTACTGTGAAGCAGATTTAATCCAACGACTTGAACGATGGTCCCTCTTTGTTCTTTATCTGTATTATCTGCGAGATATTTAAAAATTGGTTCGTTTTTTGTCTCTTAACTCATCTAGACTAAAGCTAAATGTGAACATTTTAGAGATCAACTGTCTGACTCATGTTTAATCCAGTTTGTGAATGAAGTGTTTAAATGTTTAGATAATTTTTCTTCATGGTATCAATGAGAATTACATCAATGCTGTATTTATTTTAGCCTTTTTTTTTTATTGTCTATTCTGCTCAGGCCATTCCTTATAATTCCACATAGTGACCACTAGGTGGCACCATAACTTATCAAATGATGCTGTGCACTGGCTTTTTGTCATGATAAATGAGACATGGAGATAATCTGATAAACCTGCATATTATTCATATTTGAGTCTTTGCGTCCGTTTCAGGTTCACGAGTACCTGAGGAGCAAGCTGTGCTCTCTCTACGAGAACGACTGCATCTTTGACAAGTTCGAATGCTGCTGGAATGGCAATGACAGGTGAGGATACGCAGCAGGGAGACAGATTAACACCCAGAGAACTGATGTTAGTGGCGCTTACATCTCTGCACAGATTCCTGTAAATTCAATTTAAACTTTTTTGTTTGACTAATGAAATTCAATTTATGGCCTTTAATCAAATATTGTCCACATGTATTGAAGTATTTAGCAATATTTGATTAAGTTGCATGAAATACTTTTCAGTATTAGGGTTTCAAAGTATTTGTCACCAGACTGGAGTATTGTCGTTCATTTAGACATGGTCACTTTCTTATCCTGACTTGAGCGAAACGCTTACACGTCTCTCTCATATCCCCCACATCAGTGTGGTGATGACCGGCTCATACAACAACTTCTTCCGGATGTTCGACCGCGGCCAGAGGCGGGACGTCACCTTAGAGGCGTCCCGAGAAAACAGCAAGCCCATGCAGGTCCTTAAGCCCCGCAAGGTGTGTGCAGGCGGCAAGCGCAAGAAGGATGAAATCAGCGTGGACAGTTTGGACTTCAACAAGAAGATCCTCCACACGGCCTGGCACCCGCAGGACAACATCATCGCAGTGGCCACGACCAACAACCTCTACATATTCCAGGATAAAGTGAACTAACCACGGGGTGAGATCTGGCGTGGATGATGTCACGTGTACCACCTGCAGCCTCATCCCGAGTGATCTGCAGTGACGCAGATAACCAGCACCCCTGTACGTTGCTACTGGGTGACCAGACTGCCACTTTGTTCTAGATGTGGACAGAGGAAGCCTCGCTCTTGCTCATCATCGGCCTCTTTGTGGCAGAGTGACACCTGCCTTGTTGTTTAAGTGATGTTGTGCCAATTTCTTTCCTTTTTGGTATGTTTTTTTTTTTTTTTTTTTGCGAGCCCATCTGCCCTTCTTCTTCCCCTGGGGTATCATGGGTAAACCAGTTTAATTTACTTAAAATTCTGAATACAGACACACTTATTTTTATAACTTTCCCCCCCAATGGCTCTGATAGAAAATCAAAAACACTTATTTAGTATGTCCCCTTATTGTCCTGTGCCATTGTAGTGTTTATTTTTCTAAGAAAAAAAAATTGCCAGTTTTTTTTTGTTGTGTATACACCTTTTTATTAATTCATCCGTTATACTGTCATAATATTCTTTGAGTCTCTTCACACGTCTCATCTCAACGGTCACAAAAGTAAACTCACAGTTTTCGATACACACTTGCTCCTCAGACTGGACGGAGACGCTCCAGCGGTCGCCTCCTCCAGGAGCTTGAGCAGCACCTCTGTACTGTCACACATTCAAAACCTGGTCCAGTGAGGTCTCATCTCACTCACTGTCACTGCTTGAGGCTCTGGCTGGCCAGATAGGTCTAGTCTCTAGAAGAGAGGGTCTTATTATTATTATTATTTTCCTTTTTTGGATTGGCTCTGTGTCTGGACATCTCTGTGCATCTGTTCCTCCTCCTCCTTTTCTGTTCTATTCCACAGTAGTCAGGTATAAGAGATAGCATATTCAAAGATAAATATTATGATTGTCATATTTATATTTAAACAAAGTCACCAGATTTGTTCCGTCCTATTTTGTGAAATGAAGCTGGACCTCACATATCTTTTCTGAGTGATCTTAAAAGTATTGTCCTTCCATGGTTGTTACCACAGCTCTGAAACCGTGCTTCACAACAGGGAAAACCTTTTTTTTGATTTGACACTGGACTTAATTACCGCACCAACTAAAGTACTTGTCTGTGTTGTAAAGGCTGCAGTTTAAAAAGAAGACGTTATTTGAAGCATTAAGTCACTTAAAAGTGTTTGCTCAAAAACTACTGCAGGCATTATTACTGCTCCTGTACTGTATGTGATGGTGCAATACGTTGCACAAGGATTTGCAGCAGTTGATGTCGCCACGCCGTATTTAAAATTAAAATGTGGACAGTTCACACTAAATCGATGCCTCTAGTAATGTATAACTACAATTTTATTCTATGACAGTGAAGATAATAAACTACTTTTTGCATTCTTGTGATTGCTTGATCGTTGTTGGGATTCAATCAGCGTTTAACATCTCGTTTTGTGTTACAGGTGCAACAATCTGTTTTTGAGGTTGAGTTGTCCGTTATCAGAATGTGAAGAGAGGAGATGTTTGTTTACACTCTGAACAGCTGATATCACAGATGTGGACACCGTCAGATGCAAAAGCTCAAACTTTCTGATCTTTTAATTCCTTATCCACAGCTGCGCAGGTTGTGATCTTTGTGATCACTTCCTAATCTCGGTTGAAGACTGAGGGGGGCAGAGCTTTTGCCATCAGGTTCTTAAGGTTTTTGGACATTAATTGCCTGAGGAATTAAGAATGTCTTTAAGTGTCTGCAAAAAAAACACGTGTTTTTCAAAAGGCATACATCCCTGAATTAAAGAAACATTCTTTTTTTTCTTTTTTTAAATCAAACTGCAAATGATATGATACAAAATCTGCAATTGAAGCATAAGAGCAAAGAAATGTAAAAAAATAGCAAAAATAAAATGTTGAAAGGAACAAAACCTTCTGTCACTGAGATATTTTGACCCAGATTTTAATTTGGGCCCTTCACGGGTTAGTTCACTTTGTTTTGGCAAGTTGGTGAAAATCTTTTCGGTCACACGTTCATCACTTTGTTCGGACAGTTCGTCTCTGTGCTCAGGTCTGGTGTTCGTGTTCTTACGACCTTTTGTTAAAATACAACTAAGTACCTTCACACAGGATTCCAGGAGTGAACCTGAACCTGAAGCAATGACACAGCTTCTCTGAGGGTTAATAAAACACCTGAGTCACCGCTGATCCTGACGTCAGTCTGCAATCAATCAATAATTAATAATCGATCAATTATCAATCCGGATCTTACACAAGTGTCATCACGTGTTGGAGGAGTTTTGTTTTTAAGCCAGTTACATAAGCTCTTTCCGTCTCCCCCCCTTTCGCTCTCCCCCCTCTCTCTTCCTCTCCCTCACCCCCTCCCTCGTGACGTCATCAGCCCGCTCCAGTGGCTGTGTTCGGAGCGTCTCGCGCTGCTTCCTCCCGCAGAGTCGCGCTCGCGGACGGACGGGAGACCAGCGGCGGTGGTGGCGGCGGCGCAGGCGGTGGTGGCGCTGTAGCATTTAGCATTTAGCTTCTTCTTCTCCTCCTCCTCATTCTTTTTCTTTTCTCCTCGGCTCGGCCGCTCGGGGGGGAAGAGTCCGGGGCTCAGTCGCACTATCGCAGGGTCTGAATGTGCGCAGCAGATAAGGAGGCGTGCGCAGTTTTCTGAGCCGTTCCTGCAACAACCGAGACGATGTCCGACGCCGCTGACGCTCCTCCCGCAGACAACAGCGGAGACTCCGGGCTGAACGGTGAGCTAACCCGCACCGCCGAGCCGCTCCCAGTGCGGGGCGTGCGTGCGTGCGTGTCGGTGTGTGTCCCCGCGTGTTGTCGCTACGTGTCTCGATGTTTGAGCTGGTTTGGTTTCTCTGTTTTTTTTCGTGGCGGAGCAGCGAGAACGCTATGTTCCGTGTTTATTGACAGTGGGACAACCAATAGCGTTTCGAGACGCTTGACCGACAGGCGGGGCGGCCAATCGGAGGAAGGGTGGAGGTGGGTCTAAGGTTAGTCAACAAGGGGATGGAAGAAATGGACAAAAACTGGAAAAATGGAGACGTGCATGTTTATTCTCTGACAGTTTACACTTTGTTCGACAAGATATCAAAACTGAATTCACCCATTTAGTGTTTTATTGCATGATGTGTCAGATTCAAACTATGCAAAGTGTCATCCTCCTCAAAATGTACCTGTTACAAAGATTTACAAAGTTAACTCTACATATATGAACATAAGCAGCTGCATTATATAATACATTTAAAAGCCAGTAATAAAGTAGAGTTCTTGAATTAAATATAAGTAACCACTTTCAGGACTCGTGGTGAAATAGTCCCTTTAAAACTAAGTGCTAATCAATTTTTAAATAGAGGACAAATTAAATTAGCGTTTGTCGAACAGCATTGTACAGACGCAGCCTAATTGAATGTATGTATGACCTGTTATATAAACGCTTAAGACCTCAGCTTAAATATGCCACAGAGCCACATAAACAAAGGCCTGTTTATTACCCTGCTGCACTGACTCTGCTCGGGTTTAACTTTACCACACTATGGGGGGCCGTGACTCTGCATGCTATTTATGGCCCCGGTGACTAGAGGACAGACGTTTCAGACGTGCAGAGTGTGGGGGGAAAGTATTAGAGAGCAATCTGGACAGGAATCGAACTTTCCAGACTCCAAGGTATTTTAGTGACCCACTTCTTAAGAGTAGGATAGTCATTCTTCTATCTATAACGTTCTACCCTGTTTTATGAATGTCATTTATACATTCTCCAGTACTTTAGGCTGTGTCTGCCTTCTGTTGCTTCCTCTAAGTATTGCCTTCATGAGACACAGTTTTGTGGTTCTGTCTAAGTCTGCCATTCCTGTTGTGTATCTTGGAACAGTCTAAGCTGTAGTTTATACACCACGTCTCAGAAAACCTCAGGCCTCCCCAGGGTTTGGGGTTAGTTCACTTTTCAGAGGATCAGATCAAAACCTGTCCTCAGCCCAACTACTGACCGATCAGATCACTGGAAAACCTAACTAATCATTCCCACTGGATCCTGACCGGGACAAAATAGTTTACAATGAGGTGTCAACTAATAAGGTGCTGCAGATTATAGAACAATTTAATCAGTTTGCTGCTCCAGACTTTCAACATGTCCACTCTGGTTTTAACAACTTCTAAAAAATGATGAGAGAGTTTATCACGTTCACAAATACATAATATAAATAGATTCATTTTAATTTGAACAGAGATTCTTTTATTCCTGACAGTGCTGATGCTTTTACACCACTGCAGCTCAGAACACTCATACTAGTGGCTCATTAGAAATTCATTCTTTTTGTCTTTTAATCCCACAAATATCCACACTTTACAGATTTGAGTGATTATAAAGTTGTAAACATTTTCACTTGCAGATGTTGCTTGTAGTTCCAGACTCCGCCTCCCCCAGAGGGTCGCACTTGAAGCCAGATAGGAAACCCCAGAGTTAAACGTGAGCCAGCTGATAACCAGCGTCATGATGCAGAGCGTCCAGGGCGGCCAACGTTAATCAGTGAAGCCAGATAATATAAAAGTTATCTTGGTTATGTTGAACTAGCTTCATAATACAGACCTCTTATTGGAGACAGCCTGTAAACACTACAGAAGGATCATCCTTTTAAACCTGTCAGGGGCCCCATAATCCTTTGCTACCACATTAACCCAACACCATCTTCAGTGAACTAATCCGGAATAATTCAAACTGACAAACTATGCAATTCACAGCTGATGTTGTTGCTGCACCAGATCACATCAACAGAAAACAGTGCATGCTACAAGCTTTAGGGATAATAAGACCCTGCACTTATCAGAGGCAGTGTCACTGTTCAGAGTACGGATGCACTGTACTGTTGTCATCTGAGCCCACGTTATTTTTGGCTTTTCCTAGAGCTCCCAATCCAGTGTCATAAATATTTCTAATCTAATACCTGGGATCTTCAGTCAAGGGCCAGCCTCGGCCTCCTCCGTCCCTCCCGCCCGAGCATCAGTGGATCAGAGAGGTCACACGATGTCTGCCTCCTCTAAACCCACCCAGCAGCTGATAGCGGCTCCGCGGCCAGAATGTTCACAAGCATTGGCTCCATGGCAACGTGGTTTTAGTCCACGGAGCGGAGACAATGGGATGTGGACAGCAGCTTGGCTCGCAGTCCACTGTGTAATCCACAGGATGAGTGCAAGTGCTGAGTCCAGGCCTGTTTATGGGGGGAGGGGTGCTCCACTTTGGGTGGTGGGTTTGTTGACCTGAAGCGTGTGAAATGCAGTTTCCCTGAAAGCTCATGTGAACACGGTGTTTACATACTGTTATGGGGTCATGTGACCTGCTCCGGACGTCTTGTTTTATTGTTGCGAGGACAGCAGGTTAAAGTGTTTATCTATTAGTTTTTTTAAAGCCACATGATGACGGCTGTCAAAGCACTTTTCCCCCTCCATTCTCCAAATTGTTGCCCTCGCTAACTCGCTCTATATGTCTGTAACACAGTGGTGACCTGCTGTGCCTCCTCGGCTACCAGTCCATGCAAGAGCTCATGTACTAACAGGGAGAGCATCACATTTCACGGTCGGGAGCTACATGGAGCCAGAGCACGTACACAGCCAGGCATTTACTGCCCTTTCATCACACAGCAGTAAACAGTGCCTCAGTCATGGACTTCTTTGACCGACAGTCTCCGGCCAGATGTCTTGTTGTCACCTCCCAGTGGAAAATCATTATGACTTCTATTTTTTTTTTCACTCTTCTGCTCCACTTTGTTGGGAGTGCTGGATACTTTGACATGTCATAGCATGAAAAGCACAGTTAACATTAACGATCCCTGTAAATCTGTTTAGGTGTTCCAGTTCTCACACTGCTGTATTATGTATTCTGGCTCAGCAGGACTCTTAACATTTCAAAAGAGCCAACATCAACCCTTCTACCATCTGCAGTGAAAACTGTTTCTTGGTCCATGGTCAAAATATCACTTTCTTTCCACTGTCCACTCTTTCCAGGGGCAGAAACTGGAAGCTTTTTATTCTGAGAATTCTACCAAAGATTATGGTAATTTACACCAAACTAAACAAAAGACAGTTAAATGACACTTCTGATTTTAGTGGCAGATGTTAATAAAACTTGTCCCATGGTACATATCAGATCTCGCTCTGAACAGGATATGCAAATGTTTTTTTTGCTGTGACTTTACACTGTCTCTTTCTTATCAGGTAATGCTGACACTTGTATTCAGACACGTTTTAACTAGGGGACTCTTCACAAAGCAATAAAGATGTTTTGTTATATCTAATCTCTATGTTGTAACATGAAAACATAAAACATAACTTCATTGACGGAGGTAAAAATAATAAATGATGTATATATGAGTGAATATAATTAAAACCAGCTAACATTTATCTTCCATGGTATCATTGCGCTGCTGCACAGACAGTGTTGAGTGAGTGAAGCTCATGTGTTGGTCTGTTCTGCACCTCCAGGGTCCTGGGTGGAGTTGGAGATGAACAGAGGTGCGGCTGGCTTGGCCCAGTCATCCTCCGCAGGCGGCCTGGGCTCGGCCCTGCTGCCCCTCCCTCAGGTGGAGGAAGAGGAGGCCATGGTGGGGGGGCTGGAGCACGTCCCGTCCTCTTCATCGATCCACAACGGAGACATGGAGAAAATCCTGTTGGACGCCCAGCACGAGTCGAGCCGCAGCAACTCCTCTTGTGACAGGTAATGTAAAGAAGCCGTTCTAAACGTGAGGGGAAGATTGAATTCCCAGGAGCTTTGTAGTTAATTAGAAAATAATTCATGTAATCAGACTCAGTAAGCAACACAAAAAACTGTTGCCTTTGTGAATCCAGATGAGGAAACAGGAATTTCCACCACAGTAGAAGAGTTAATAGAAAAGTCATGAGTTTTTTGGGTTCATGCAGGACTTTGTGTTTACAGCTGCGGAGGATAAGGCCACATGGGGAAGTTGGTACTTGTGTAATGTTCTTCTTGACTTTCACTAAGTTAAGGGCAGCCTGTTTTACAAAACACAGCACAGTTGATTTTAGAGCTGGAGCCGAAAACAAAATCACTTAATTCTGACCCTGGATCTGATGTGAAGATCTCAAACTGAAACCCTGCTCCTCTAACTGCACCGAAGGTGTGATGGCCAAAACGAGGTAACTTAACTAAAAGGATTTACGAATATTCACTTGTATGTTTAATTTAAATACTGCAGGGCCTGTTGTAAAATTTTTTAGTTTTGTTGATACTAAACGTTTAACACAGTTGTGCTGTGTGGACGCTCATCTGCCAATAACGCAGTAAAAGCTCGTTTGGAAAAACTGCAACAGAAAAAAACTTTTTATAGGAGATTTTTAAAGTTGGACTTGACTCTTTTTAAATATTCCTCAACTTTCCTCAGTAATCTGGTGGAAAAGTGAAATGACCTCATCACCCAACAGCAGCTTCTCTGTCATAATTACACCCCCGACATGTTGAGTCAGGAGTTGAGTCGGCTTCTGAAAATAAACTGATGTCTTCTGTCTTAGCATGCCTCCCATTTTACTGATCCTGTCTGTTGGGGTCGCGGCCGCATCATGTGCTTGCTTGGGGCTGCGGTGAAGCGGAGGTTATCAGAGAGCGGGGCGGTCAGCTGTCAGTGAGTCACCTGATCTGATTCCGAAAACTCAGAATCAACAAGCTGCTCTGACATTTGATGCTGTGAATCCAGCAGGAAAACAAAAACCTGCACAGCCTGGTTTTTTAATACTTTTTTAGAACAGTTTCATTCATAATTAAATGAAAAATCAAATCCAATAAACTTAATATGAAAATCTGAGGAGGAGGGGAAGAGGTTTTTCTTCTTTTGAATCAGAGTGAGAGAGGATCTGCATGTTTAGTGTCTGTAAATTTGAATATTCCTGCTAATTCTCTAAATGAGTAACGAGGCACTGAGTGTTGAAACTTAATGTGAAAATAGTGTGAATGTGTGGTACTTCCTGTATCCAAACACCCACATTATTAGTACTCCATTAAACCTTAATGTCTAACACTCAGTACCTAAGCTACTGTTGCCATGGATACCTGATGTGTAATATCCCGTGTGCACTTGTTTGAAGTAGTTTTTAAACTTTTGATCTCAGCTAATGTACGTTTTAAAGTGTTCTGTTCTACTGTCATTCATTCTCCTCGGTGTGAAACCTTTTCACTCGCACATCAGAATTTCAGACTTCATGATAACGAGTCTTGTGACTCATCGCTGTTGACTCCCCCCCC